TTCTCCTCTCCTTCCTCATGTCCACTATCATCTCCTTCGTCTTGTCCGTGTTGAGGCTGAGATTATTGTCCTTGCACCAAGACACCAGACTGGCCACCTCCCTCCTGCAGGGCTTCATCCCCGCCAGCGATGCGACCTATCACTGCGGTGTCATCCGCGAACTTCAGGATGATGTTGTCTTTGTGGGAGGCGACACAGTCATGGGTGAACAGGGTGTAGAGGATGAAAATGTGAACAATACTTCTTTTGGTAACTCTACCATTATTCTTTGGCTTCGCAGCGACAACCCTTGACAGCGCAGAAATACTGACAAGCAGACAGATAATATCCACAATGTGCTGCATCTGAGAAGACATCAGTGCCTGAACTGAACTTTCTATTGCTGAGGGAGGAAGCCAAGAAAAAAAAGGAACAGAAATGGTATAAAAACAATTGATGGATGTGCCTTTTCATTTAAAAGTCACATAGAGCAATGGGGTTCTACAGACAGACAGAGGGGCAAACCAACACTTAGATGAGCCTGCTGAAACTGACCTTTGCAAAGTGAAAATGCACAAAGAAAAGAAAAAAAAAAAAAAAAAAAAAAAACATTTTTAAAAAAGGGACAAAAGTGACTGCCAGTGAAAAAAATAAGAATTCAGGACAGAAGGATGACAAAACTTAAAGAGAAATATTATCATGCTCACTGGACCTTAATGCTAGATAAGCGACACACACCTGATAGTACAAGCCTGGGCTGTGTTATCTTTCCTTGTGGGGACTTTACATTGACTTTACATTCATTTCCTGTAGACCTACAGTATCCTAACCTTACCCATAACCACTACTTGCCTAACACCTAACCTTAAAGCACGTGGCCCCTCTAAAATTCAATGATTTCCTTGTGGTAACCAGCCTCCTTTAGTCCCCACAAGGATGGCCGAGTCCCCACAATGCGAGTGTGTTAATGGGTAATATAAGTAATACAAAGGCGCACACAGACACACACACAAAAGGCAACAGACAAAAATCATGTGCCTGAGTGAGCACAATCCGTCAGGATGTGCTACCACAGTACGACATAGTGCTGTCATTTACCTCTGTTCACTGGCTGCACTGGTAATGGGTATCTAATACTGACACTGATATGCTATTTGTTTGCTGTTTTGCCCTCAGGAGATACAGGCTTTATAAAAATATTCAAAGCCAAAAGTGTAATACAAATAGAAAAAGCTAACTTTCCACCTTTCCTTTGCATCTGGGAAACTCAAATACCCTTAACAACTACAAGGAAGGCCTTTGTCCAACACCCACACAGCCTTCATCAAACAGGTGTTGTGACTTACATTCTAATGGTCTGACCTCCAGGCAGATATTGACCGAAATGGAGAGAAGGAGAGAGAGTGCAAACAGCAGATAGAGGGGTTCATTAGTGCAGTACATGACTTACATGTTTAAGTCTCTCTTGTGACCCTGCCTTTAATTAGAAAATCTGGCTGAGACTCTGAGTGTGTGTTTGTGTGTGAAGACATCCTCAGGAATGCATAAAAGTGTGCATACAGTTAATCTTTGTAATTTGGTATGTGGGACACACTGTGGCACTGTGTTTATGCCTGTGTACCCTGATTTAATGCAGCCAGCCTTCTATCCAACTCAGTGGGGACAGAAGGCTGAGTCACGCACACGTCTGTGCCAGTATGTTGATATGCAAAGTACTGCAATCATTCTATACAAACTTATGCGTGTACCTATCGATGCTCTGGGCATAATATTCAATCCTGACTTGCTGCCATGAGGACAGAACTTTGCAAAAGTTTCTGAAATGAAATGAAATGCCAGCACAAATGCTTCTGTTTTATAAAGCTGATCATCTGATGCAGTATCAGGCTCGGTACTGTGCTAATTGTTGCTTCTTGAGATTGATTTAATGGCTGGTTTCAACACACAGCTAATCCCCCCCGAGTGCTGTGTCCTGTAGACAACCTTGCTGTTAAGATATTCACACTTAATCTCTTGTATTATTTATTTATTCACTTAATAGTTGCTTTTTATTACTCTTACATTCCCTCTGCCTCCCACCAGCACCTCTCCACACACAAACCAACAAACAGACCCTCAGAGAATGCTTGCACAGAGCCAAGTTTCTTTCTTTTTCTTTTTTTTTTTTTTCACGCCAACCCTCTTCTACCGAGCCCATTAGCCAATCCCTGGGCCCGTAATTAGAGCTGCCATTTTGATTGAGCGTGTATGTCGGTCTCCAAATAAAACAACACAGTAATTATCTCATTATGTCACGGCCTCCATCACTGACAACGCCAAATATTATCATATTAATGGCGGAAGACGGAGGCTGATTCTGGATAAAATATTAGAGGGGGGGTGAGGGTTGCATGTCCTGTCCTATATACACTGTGTGTGACAGGTTGGCTCCAGTCTTGTCATCACCAGCTAATAACTGCTACTAACTGCCTGTCTGCAGGCCTGAGGCCAGAGGCATAAACACAGCATCAAGTTAACATCAAGTTCCTGGGCATCCACATGCATAAACACAGCATCAAGTTAACTGGGCATCCACATCACATCTGACCTGACCTGGTCTCTGAACACATCCTACCTGGTGAAGAAAGCCCAGCAAAGGCTCTTCTTCCTCAGGAAGCTGAAACATGCTGGTCTCTCCTCTCACCTGCTCACAAACGTCTACAGAGAAACAGTAGAGAGCATCCTCTGCCTCAGTGCAACAGTGTGGTACGGGAGCTGCACTGCACAGGACAAAAAGGACTTGACCCGGGTGGTGAGAACAGCTCAGGGCATTGTAGGGAGCCCTCTTCTGGATCTGGACTCACTATATACTGACCGGCCAGACGGATTGCTGCAGACCCATACCTTTTCATTTTTATCTTTTCATATTTTTTTATTGACTTATTTATGTAAATAATGTGTCTTTTAAACTGAGAGCTGCTGGAAGAAATCTTGTTGTGCTATGCATAATGACAAGATTCTTGACTTGAACAGAATTTTGATCTACCATACTTGCATTGGTTGTGTGTACACAACAGTGAGGAAATATCAACATTCTGGGTGTGCTCATGTTCGTTTTTACCTCCAAATAAAATGATTAAGTGCCTCCCACTGCAGCACTCTGAACATTTTTCTTTACACAAATGTTTCCATACAGTATGTGATCAATGAAGGTCTTGTGAGTTCATCAGCCTGACATGTAAATTCTGTAAACTACAACTAATCAATAAATCAATAAAGGCTTACTTTGCTGTATTAGTGCAACCACTGAAATTGATACCACTTAAGTCTAATGTGTTTCTCCTTCAAGTATTACATTTCATCAATATTTCAGAGTATCTGACTACGCAGGTTGATCTGATGGTGCGCTGAAGGAGGATGGAGAATGAAGGAAGAGAGGGAGAAGATAAGACACAGGAGCAGAAAATACGAGAGCGAGACCTAACAGCAGCATAAAGCCAGATACGAAGACTTGGAAAAGGGTGCAAGAAAACGCAGAGGAACTGGAGTGAGAACAAAACTGTCTGACATATAAAAGAGAATGGGAGAGAGTGTGTGAGAAAAAACGACTATCCTGTGGTGTTAGCCAGTGTGAGGGCAGACTAATTAGGAAGTGTGCGCTGCCGCCGGCTGGTGTGGCATTCGTCTTGCTGTGGCCAGCTGATTTAAACACAACACACTGTGGGGGAAAAGATTCTGACAGGCAGGTTTTTCTTTGCTGCCTGTGTGCTGGAGCACACATCAAAGCACATGGCTGATGTTTGGTTTTCTGGTGTAATATTGGGAATAGATTCAAACAGAAGCTCAGTGGAAGACCTGAGTGGAAAAAATGGACATAAGCAAAGACGTCTTTACATTTAAGCATATAAAGAAATTTATGGGTTTATACTGTGTGTCAATTCCACAACACCACAACTGGAGAAATGAATGCAAAGATAAGGCTGCATGCAGGATATAAAATAGAACAAATTTGACCAATATCAATTATAAAGCACCAGAAAAATATTAGTTGCATTTAAGGCAATAATTTATTCATTATTATTATTATTAATTTATTAATACTGACAAGCAGCACATTTTGAATCTGGCAGGGGTGTCCAATCAGATTCTGGGGGTGGTCAGCACCACCCCTGGATCCACCCATGCAGTTGGTCTTGTAGTTTTTGTAAGAATGATGATGCAAATGTACAAAGTTCTACTCTGAATGAGCCTTATGATGAAGAATTCAAAGCAGAGGCTGCTTGAACACCAGTGTTCAAATGTGGAGTCAGAAAGGTCGGGAACCACTGCCTCATAAAACATAGCGAACCCCAGCATCCAATAGCACAGACACATTGCTCATCATGCATCTGTTTCTGTTGTTAGATGACAAGTGAACAGCCATAAAAATAAAACCGGATTAATTCACAATCTAAAACCAGCTTCCAGTAAAAGCCAGTTTCCTCTGTGGAACTGACCATGAACAAAAGCTGGAAAAAAGAAACATTTCAACTGCTCAGATAGAGTACCAATAAAAGATAATGTAATACAGGCATAAAAGCCAAAAATGTCTTAATATAGAGTCTATAGTAACGACATGTTATTTTCAAGAGAACAACATGTCCTTTTTAGCTCTCTGCCTGACAACTAAATGGCAGAAAATAATTTTCTGTTGGCAGAAAATGCGAATGTCTGCATGGGCATTAACAGGAAAAGTCTCCTTATGTAATGTCTGATTGGTGCTTCTTTCACATTGCTTCTCCTTTTAGGGGAGTGAAACTGTGCCTTCAGCATCACACCAAAATGGAAAGGAGAAAAGTAAACAATGATGAAAACCAACACTATTCAGGCCTTGTAAAGGGACCCGACAATTTCACATAAAAATACCTTGTAGCTTCTTTCTAATATTTTGCAGCAATTCGTCAAGCCTGTCTTAGATTTGAGAATTGAGCTTTGTCAGAGTGCCAGGTGAACCCAGTGGCATGTATTCCACGTTTCACTGCTTCAACCATGATAGAAATGTGGCAGCATGGTCGCTGGTGTGTCATTTACTTGTCTTGGCTTACACCTTCATCTTCCTTTCTCCTTTTCTAGTACACTGGTGCAGTTTCCAACACACCTCTCAAGAGTCTTTACATCTCTCCACTTTGGCCTCTCTCTTTTTCTCACTCCTCTTTCATCTTATCTCCCTGTTTTCTTGCTCCAGCTACAAAGAGTGCCTTCTGGCTAATAAAATTTGACAAGCATAGCTAACCTTTTTTCTCCACAGGTCAGCCTCTCGCATAGCTCTAATCAAATGTGACGCCCATCACGGCACACACCTGTCATTGAAGGACTAATGAAAATATCCAGTGGTAAATTAGGGAGACAGCACTGTGAGTCCACTGTTGAGGGCCTTGACAGGAGGAGGGGGGAGGGAATGGGGGACACTAACGCGTCTCAAGTGGCAAAACTATGTAAACCATGCATGGACATAGAAGCATGCATACTTACACTGAAAATAAATTTGGATACAGCTATACTGGCAACCAAATTCAATAAGCGCACACCGTATGCCAAAAGTATTATGAACACATTTCTTCCTCAAGATCATTAAAACTGAGAAGCTGGGGGAAAAAAACCCAACATATCTTGTATTGTTTCCCTTGGAAACAATAGGAATCTTGCACGATACAGCTATAAACGACTACTTTATGGGAACATACAGTACTCTGAAATGGGAGAAATGAAGTACATCAATTTATAGACAGACACACAAACTCACAAACACAGTAAGTTAGCGTACACCTATGATTTTTATGCAGTAGCATAAAACTCACTGGACCACACACACAGCACTGTTGCTAGGTTACCCTGGGTATACTTACAAAAATATTACAAGTGGGTGGCTGAGTGTGTGTGTTTTTCTCCCCATGTATATCTGTGTGCGTCTGCATGATAGAAAGGAATGGGGAGTTCCAGCCTCACAGCTAGCTGTGTGTGTTTTAACAGATGTGTATGAGTGTGACCATGAAGCATACTTGAAGTCATCCAACATGGCCAGTTACAGTATATAAAGGAAAAGTCAGATGAAAAGACCACACCAGTGTCAGTCTGGAGGCTGACCATGTAATTAATAGCAATGTCTCTGGTCTGACTCCAGCTTGAGGACCATTGCTGCATATTGTCCTCCCTCTCGCTCCCTTCATTTCCTGTCACTTCTCTACTATCTACAAAGGTGGGAGTAAGTCATATGCACAAGTCTCAAACAAGTCCCAAGTTACTGTAGTGAGAATCAAGCAAGTCAGCTTGAGTCCCTATGATGAGTCAAGCAAGTCACAAGCCAAGGCATTCAAAATTCTGATGATCTGATAATGTTATGGTAATATCACATATTTAAGTAAAACATTCAGAAACCTCCTCTCTGTTAATTAACTGTGCATGTGGAGCCTACAAATGAAATCTTAGCTATTAAATGTAAAGGCATGCCCTTCATGGCTATCAGAAACTCTTCTCAATAATATCTGTAATCCATGAGAAGCCAAGTCTATCTTTATCTTTGGAGACACCGTCACAATCAGGATTACCTAGCCAAAGAAGCTTCCTCATCCATCATGCTAATGCTAAAGACCATCTAATATACATTATGAGCAGATGGGGGAGGGAGAATGGACAAATGATACAGTGACAAGAAAGCAGAGACAGAGAGAAACTGAGGGAGAAATGGAGGAGAGAGAGAAAACAGGCTGGTAATGAAGTACCCACCACTAGTGGATGAGAGTTAAAGTGGTCTAACAGATCTGTCAGCCTGCTAGACTGTGGCTAATTATCCCTCCTCCTCTTTTGTCTGCATCCTCTCCTGTGTCACGTCTTAACTCTTGAATTTACACTGCCTAACATGTTTTTGCTCTCTCCACATTTTGGCTGGCTGTCCTCCCTCTTTCTCTACATTTCCCTGCTTTCTTGTTTCCCGCTCTCCCTCCGTCTGTCCCTCTTTTCCATTCCCATCTGTCTCCTTTCCATGTCCAACTTCCCTCTCTCTGTATCTGTTCTTTTTCTGGATGAGATTGGGTGTCTGGGGTTTAGTTTTTGATTTGCAAGTCAAAGGAGATTTCTGTCAGCGAGTTTAAGTTGAGGGAAGTTTTAATGTGCCCTGTATTATTTCATACGGGAAATGATACATTTGCATTAGAATCCTCTCTAGATTTTCTCCCTTTTCTCTCTCACATACCAAAGTGGCTGCAAGTTAAACTCTAAGGTTTCAAAAACTTCAGCAGTAATGATATATATGGTGGTGAGACAAAGTACGAGTCTTTAGCTTTTTGCATTAAATGGCCAGAAAATGTGATTTGATTTTTACCTAAATAACAAAATGTGCTAAAGCTAATAATACAATTATAATCTTTTGTGGTTTTGTAGCACATCCATAAAAATTGACAGTAGTGGTGGACTAAGTCATTCTAGCCAGTTCTGGCTGTGAATACTGCAGTAAAATGTAACTGTGAAGTAGAAATTATGCCAAATATTTACAGGGATCAAAACATTTACATGCATCTCGCATGGCATTACTGTGCATTTGTGTGTCCATATGTGAAGGTGCTGCTACAGTATAAGCATGCATTCATGTTTTATGCATTTTCTGGCTTGGCAGGTCATGAATGCAGATATGTGGAAAGACTCAGTCATGCTGGTCAAGCCAGTCTGTGACCTTTTGTGCATACACCTACACAAATACCTGTGTGCATCTACACAGAAACATAGATGCTAATGCAAAACGCAGCTGCAAGTATATGAAGTGTAAATACTCAAGTCTTTTTTCACAAGCCCAGCCCTTCCCTCTCTCACCTGGCTGCTTGTGCCTCGTGCTGGTTCTGCAGAGCAGGTCGGGGTCTGGACTTGTTGACCTTGGCATAGAGCCCATCCAGCTCCTCAGAGGACACCTGTGGCTGGTTAGGTCCTGTCTGTGTCGCTGCGGAGGGCGTGCGATTGTTGAATGTCTGGGGGGAGGGCGGCTGGCGGAAGTTGTTGATGCGAGCATAGTTGGGGTCACTGTCATCGTCTTCCACACTGGGGGTAACGAGGCCAGAGTCGATCTCAGTGTACCGATTGTAGCTGCCAGCCAGGAGGGGAAGAGGCAGTTAAACATGAGAATAGTAAAAATACATGCAATCCTCAGAAATAGCCTCTATCTTTTAGTCTTGAACCTACAAGTCTGCGGTGTGATAGACAGCTGTGCTACACATTCCACCGAGCAGTCGTTTTGGAAGACCAGGCAGGTGCATGTTGCAGCATCATGATGATTCACAACTTGTCAGGTAATGTGCCAATCACAGCACTTTACTACACTGGCAAATGCTTTTTCCATGATTATGTGACCTTTCTGGCCTTCTCAACTTTTTCCTGTGTTGTAAACTGCTCTCGTTTGACACTTTAAATCATGAACAACCAACACATATTCCTCTCAGGCATGACTCATACCCATCTCTGTTGTCAGGGAGCCTATCCAGCTCCTCTTCACTCAGGGCATCCAGTTTGTTTCTGGATCCTTTTGCTGCATCTTTGCTCTTGTCTTCTTTCTTCTTACCAAACCTGGACAACACAAGAAGAGACACGGATACAAAAGGGTGAATTTCAAATGACCTGAATGATAAGGAAGATTCAGTGTGTACTGACATGACTTGTGTGAGTAATAAGATCCTTTTGGAGACTCTCAGGATGAAACAAACTTCAATCTGGCAACAGAGCTCGAGTTGATGAAAGGAGTATGCATACCCCCTACACTCCACCTTGCTTTCCGAACGTTGACACAGATTCACACTTGCCCACTACTAGACAAACTCATTCATTCTTCTGTGTGTTTATTAGTGGTGGTGCCTAGAAAAGAAGGCTTAATGATAGATATAGTTACAATTTCACAGCAGGCACTGACAATCCACAGGGTGAGGGTGTGGGCACATCAAAAAGGGGTATAGCTGTCACGCAGCATATGGAGCTTGAAGATTTGTGCATTGTCCAATAAAATAGCTGTTACACCACAGTGTGCGGTGCTTTTATCATCAACTTTGCCATTACGCCTATCATTATCATTCTGGAGCGGCGCACTTATTCTCTCATTTTACAGGAAAAATACACTTGCCACCTCTGTTCGAGTTATAATGAAGGTCTGTTTCACACTTTCAAGAAATTAGCCAAGGCCTTTCCCTAAGTACTTTATGTTCTCGTGTCTCTTCTACACATCATCCACTCTCCTCTTATCTGCTTGCCTTTCTCTCTCACCTCCGTCGTACCTGCTAGCCAACTTGTTTTTACTTCTCGCCCTCTCCTTTCCTCCGAGCTCCTGCTGAGCCAATCTAATGTCTGTGTTTATCTCATTAACAGCGAAGCACTTCTCATTACTGGTACAGGCAGATACGTGACCTGAATGGTAACCCACTGGCCTGGCCAAGAACAGCACGCAGCGTCAGAGCTGAAGTGAACCCTGGACAAGGATGCCACATTGACCTGGCACCAACCAATTAGTGTTGTTTTTAGCTCATCTACTCACTTCAATTATATCGGTGTGGGTTGTTGTTGCCAACAGAAAGGCAGACATCCACTACTTGTGTAAAGAATGCACAGAGAGGTAACCAACAACATGATCTTTTGCTACAACTTTAAATATGTTACAAAGAATACATAAAAAGGATTTATCTAAAGGACCTACATATTCATGGTTTACATTTAGGGGTGTTTTCACCGAATGTTGATGGATAAGACCACTTCTAATTAAACTGTCATTTTCCTGGTTGTGCTGTTGCAGTTAAGGTGACCTTACTTATACCATTCATTCCCTGCATAGGTACCACCCTGCTATTGTACCTTGGCTACTACTTCAGGTTATGTGATACTTCATGTGTGTCCTACTGGCATCAATAAAAGTGCAACAAATTAATTTAAGTGCAGTGTAGCTGCCAGTATGCATCACACTTAATTTGCACATGGACTTCATATAATTCTCAACATAGCAAAGTAGAGGTCTAAACAGCCGTAAGAACTGAAAATTCCTGCAGGGTGTGCACAGCCTTTAGTGGGAGGTGCTACTCCAACAACATAGTATTGCAAAATTGCATCACTGATTGAAGCACCAGTGCTCTGATAATTTAAAGGGGTACTTCAGGGATTCTGTATTACTCTTTCATAAGGTTGGAGGTCTCATGAAAAAGCAAGTTCAATTCTTAGCAACAGATCCTGAAACATCTCAACTTTAAGTCCCTCCAAACCCCAAAAACATTGGCCCCTACATTTCCCAAAATGCAACCCTAAAGTCTATGTTCATGAGACACCTCTCGCCTAGTAAAGTCTCACGTCTTTGAGACTCAAGGCCCAACGTTGTAACAGTAATATTCTGTTGAGGACCCTGCACTCAACAGTAAACCCACACATTGATTTAAATTATTCTGGCTGATGAGACCTCTTCTCAGGACTCTGTCAGGGACTTTAAACTGAATGCACCTGTTAGAGTGGGACAAATTACACCTTTATCATTCACAGTAGTATGAAGAGTCAGGTGACCTCATGTTACTTCTGTTCAACTTCAACCTGAGCAGAGGTCAGATCATCCAGAACAAGTGAAAAGGGCTGAGATCATCAGGGTTATCTTTCAGACTTGACAGAGCTCCTCTATGCCACAAAAGATATTATACAACTGTTTTCACAGGTTTAGTAATACTACCCATGGCTGTGGCCCTTAGAGCAGAACTGGCTTCCAGTGCAGTTTCTCACAGATTTTTGGGCTATTTTAGCTAGGTTAAATCTGTCATGAGCACCGTTCTCATTTTATTTTTAGTTTTTCTTCAGGTGATGTCACAAGTACTAAGCCCTTGTTGCTGTAATGTTTTCCCACCTCACTTCCTTGCAATCGCTTGCCACAGAAACAGTGTGGGTGCTGCCACAGCATCTTTTTTCAGCAGATTTTTTTTTTCAACTATTTTGAGTGCTCCCAAATTATACTGGAGCCAAAAGCAGCCTATCAATTACCTCAGTGTTCGCTATATAGAATTCAGAACTGTTGGAAAGGGAATATCAGCATTATTCATCTTAGAATATATCAATTATACTACACAAATATATGATTATCCAAAATCCCAGGTTTAAGATTCAAGCCGGCTCCACACACCCCCCCCCCCCCCCCCCCACAACCACCACACAAAAAACAGCCTCAATCAATATTCCAGGGGGCCAGAGGTCCACAGTTGGGCCTATCATTATATCTGCATTAATTGGGAAAGCCTTTTCCTCACTGCATTGTCTGAGACAAGATTGGGGGGGGGCACCAAAAGGAGGTGGGGACAGTCAATTAGAGTGGTGTACCTGCCATAAGGGAGGTGATTATCCACCACACCCCTATTATCTTTCATCTTTTCATCACCAGAACTTCCATCTTTTCCTACTGCAATGAGCCTGTTTGCCAACGATGTCTCATTGTTTCCTTTTTTTCTGTCTTTTTTTATTACTTGATCACTGTTTTTGCTTCACTTATTAATTCTGTCTCTTCTTAAGACAGTTTCTGCTCCATCACTGTTTCAGGAAAGTGACAGTTAATTTCCTGTTGAGTGCCAGGCTGCTACTGGATTAAAAAAATAACTGACAGATCTATATCGTATGAACAAGTGGAGGTAAGCAAATACACACACACGCAGAAACGATTCTATAAACACAAGTATCTTGGATATACACACAGTACTCTAGAAACCAATATAGAGCTCACAAACAAAGGTACGTAACCACACACACACACTCCAGTAGACAGCAATGTACATCAACACAGGCAACACAACTCTGTAGGGAACTGCAAACAGTCTCATGGAATAGGACATCTCATTAATTTAGCATTATCTACCTACACAACCACTCCATCAAACTCTCATTAGGGGGAAGTGGGGGGTCCGGGTGAGTCAGGCTGCTCTGGTGTCCCATTTAATACACTCCCCATTGGCACAATAGCTACTGGGAAACATTATTAGTGTGTCGATGTCATCATTAGCCCGGCGTTCCTGATGACACTCGGCATCACCTCAGCAGGCCTGGGATCCTGAGAGACGATGACACTGAACTGTTCAGTGTGATGAGAGTTCCTGCTAGTATATTTGTGACTATATATAAAGCACAGTGGTGATTAAGTAGATTTGCAGCCTTTTTAAAAATATTTACTTTACTTTAAAAAAAAAAAATAAGATAAAAAATATATATAATTATAAAAATAAAGAATAATCAAAACTCATGAGGAAATGATATTAAATCAAAACAGATACAACTATAAAATATTTACTGTTAAGTCAGCTTCTATCTTCTAAGAAAACTTTAGGAATAAATGTATTTATTTTCTTCTTGAATAGCCAGTGACCTCTCCTTTTCTTCTTCTTCCTTTTTCCACATGGGTGACTCTCCTCTGAAAAACCCACAGCATCACAGATGATAACTACTGCACTTAAAAAAAACAACAAAAAAAACCACTCTAATTTGGACAAATGGCACCGGAAACTCACTGCAAAGCAAGCAGGCTGCTAAGAAACTGGACTGGCTGTAATTACTACAGCTACTGTCATTCTCATTACTGTGATGGGGGACGTGAATGCACTCAGTCGTGCTCTAATGAGGTTCTATATGTAACGTGGAGATCACAGCTAGCCAGTGTGATGTCACCAACCTGACCTGTGCAATTAGCCTGCTGGGGAATACAGGAGTGGGTCAGAAGGTGCAAGAGAGCTCCCACTCATAGACAAACTTTACTACTACACACAGTCTTAAAGTCGGGAAAGTCTATGCCAGGGTACTGGAGAGGAGAATTCGACCGATAGTTGAACCTCGGATCCAGGAGGAACAATGCGGTTTTCGTCCTGGCCGTGGAACACTGGACCAGCTCTATACCCTCTTCAGGGTGGCGGAGGGTTCATGGGAGTTTGCCCAACCAGTCCACATGTGCTTCGTGGATCTGGAGAAGGCATTCGACCGTGTCCCTCGCAGCGCCCTGTGGGGGGTGCTCCGGGAGTACGGGGTCCGGGGCCCTTTGCTAAGGGCTACCCGGTCCCTGTACGATCGGAGCAGGAGCTTGGTTCGCATCGCCGGTAGTAAGTCAGACTTGTTTCCAGTGCGTGTTGGACTCCGGCAGGGCTGCCCTTTGTCACCGGTTCTGTTCATTATTTTTATGGACAGAATTTCTAGACGCAGCCAGGGGCCGGAGGGAGTCCGGTTTGGGGACCACAGGATTTCGTCTCTGCTTTTTGCAGATGACGTTGTCCTGTTGGCCCCATCAAACCAGGACCTCCAGCATGCACTGGGGCGGTTTGCAGCCGAGTGTGAAGCGGCTGGGATGAGAATCAGCACCTCCAAATCCGAGGCCATGGTTCTCAGCCGGAAAAGGGTGGCTTGTTCCCTTCAGGTTGGTGGAGAGTTCCTGCCTCAAGTGGAGGAGTTCAAGTATCTTGGGGTCTTGTTCACGAGTGAGGGAAGGATGGAACGGGAGATTGACAGGCGGATCAGTGCAGCTTCTGCAGTAATGCGGTCGATGTACCGGTCCGTCGTGGTGAAGAAGGAGCTGAGCTGTAAGGCGA